TGTGGATCCCAATATCTGAGTGGGATTTTCCATACAGTGAAAGTCAATAATAGTCCATACAGTTAATGAAGTCAATAACTTAAATGTAGGTCTTTCTGCCACAAAAGCCATCACAAAGTCGCGGTCAAATTAGCAAAACTAACAAAAAGAAGGTAAATCGTCCCTTATCATAATCAACATGAAGCACCGTTTACTTAGGGCTAAGCAGCTTTTTATTGGTGCAAATTTGCATATTCAAAGTTTAACAAACTTGAATCCAATGCAAAATTTGTGTGGGGAAATGCTGCTTCTTGTAAGGTTCCACACACAAAATTACAGACTGGATGGATTCCTATTGAGATGACTGCATCCCGCCAGCAAAAATTTGGCAAACCCCTGGTCACCATTCACGTTCATTGTATGGAAAAGAGCAACGTGAACAACACTCTGCTAAACATCTCCTTTTGTGTTCTACAGAAGAAAGCAAGCTCATCTAAGTTTGGATTGTCAAGAGGGTGAGTAAATGATGATAGAAGTCTCATTTGTTTAACCTTCTGAAAGCCTAAAGTGTAGTTCTATAACCTCAGGTCTGGGTAAAAAAGTCAAATTTAGCATATTTACTTGACTTTAATTTATAGTGGCCCTAATTATGAGGTGGAAGTGTTGGGTTTCCGAGTTGGACAGCAAAGCAGAACCTGACAATGACCTCTTGTATCTATCAATCAGTCCCAAGCTTGAGTTACTCGTCATTTAGTGGACACTTTTCATCCTGTGTCACCTACAACACTCTAATTGCAAAGACAGTCCTCTGAAATAAACTAAGGTTAAGTGCTTTGCTTGAGGGCATAATGATAGAACAGTAAGACAAAGTGGCTGAGCAGGACTGTGAGGTGAACCAATTCTCTTTGTTTTAACCAAAATCTTCACTGCAAAGAACACAGAGGACACTATTCGTTTTGATGTGTGGCTGCACTTATTCGCTAAATTAAGCCTGGCTGAGGGAAGTCAGGGAGGAAACTGTGTGCAAAAAAAAAGTCAGCCAACAGACAGTGAAGCAGCAGGAAACATAAAATAAAACGAGGGCAACGAAAGATAAACTAAGCCTTCCCCTCTCCAACTTATGTCTCTGTGAAGAAACCGACCATCTGTCTTAAACGTAGACGAGCCCCTGAGAGTAATGAGCACAGGAAGTTGCATTTAGCATAGGAAACCAGGCTTTACTGCTTCAAACCCACAAGCTTGGCCAAGACCTTCACCCCAACAGGGGACAGGGGGAGCAGGGGACTTCCTCCAGACGCAACTGTGCTGCAAACTATTGCCTTTGTTTAGAGATCTAAACACAAACAAGACTGTAACTGCCACTGAAAATAGCATAGACCCTACTAGAGATACACTATCGATTAAATGTTTGGGGCCTTTTTTGGAAATAATTACTTTTATTCAGCAAGGATGCATTAAATTCATCAAAAAAGTAAAGACATTTATAATGTTACAAAAGATTTTATTTCAAATAAATACTGTTCTTTTGAACTTTCTATTCATCAAAGAATCCCAAAAATCATGTATCATGATTTCCACAAAAACATTAAGCAGCACAACTGTTTTTAACATTGATACTAATAAGAAATGTTTCTTGAGCAGCAAATCAGTATATTACAATGTTTTCTGAAAGATCATGTGACACTGAAGAGTGGAGTAATGATGCTGAAAATTCAGCTTTGCATCACAGGAATAAATTACATTTTAAAATATATAAAAATAGAAAGCAGTCATTTCTAATAATATTCCACAATACTGTATTTATGATCAAATAAATGCAGCCTTGGTGAGCATAAGAGACTTCTTTCAACCTTGGTTTGAGGCGACATTCCCACAGATCTAACTACTTTCCCTTTTCAATGCATTAAAATACAATAACAACCCTTATTAGACATGACAGATGTGACAGATGACCAGTGAGATTATCCGGTCTATTCATAAAGTGGATAAGGGTGTTGAAATCAATAGGTTGGCAACCTAAGGCTGTTAATCATAACAAGCAGTCTGTGAAAAATCCATCTGACAAACAGCTCAAATAATGTTGTTTACTAAAGACTATGGAAAACCGATATCCAGAGATCTACTATACTTGTGTTTAGAATCATGTAATCATATTTATGGAAGAGATTTTATTGTCATTTAGCAAAAGCAACTACACATAAGATTCCATCAGATTATCACCACATAATTTTATCCTAATTGATATTCTAGTGAAGCAGCACATGTTCGCAGGATCATCTCATCAAGAATCCCTAATGTCCCATACAAAACACGGGGGTGACCTTTCGACCGGGCTAATCCAAGTAAAAAAACCTGGGCCGACAAGACAGAAGTAATCTATCTCTACTCAGTGTTTTCAACCTCAGAGGGATGTTGATGAATGGGGCTTGAACTTGCCTCTGGGCAGCGAGGCCTCCATCAATCTTTCCCCTCCCACAAACACACAAGCACACCCACGCACGTGCATCATGCAAATACACGCATTATTCAAAAGACAGAGACGCATAGAGAATCACAGACCTCAGAACTGATTTAAGAGGATTTGCTGAGGATAAACTAACCATTTAAACAAGTCATTAGTAACATTCCCTTTCCAAGGTCACTGTAAATGCTGTAAAACTGGCCTGCACCTGACAGGTAAGGCATGTATGGGCAGTTTTTTGAAAGGTTGAAACTGTACAACTGGGCCTCTTGTCATGAATATCAGGAGTTTTGTAATCCTCTGAGGCCTTCACCCCCAGGGGGCTCCTGCCTCCCAAACCAGGCTGTGCATGGAGCCAGATAACAGCCAGGACTGAGCGACCGGCTAGACGGCTTAATCCCATTGGTGGCAGGCAGCAGTGCCACATGGAACCTTTGAGTAACAGAACAGAACACATCAACCACACATCCTGAAAATATGATTAGTCCATGTTATCAACACACCACAATGCTGTAATGCAAAGATAAAGAAGCCCCTTGGCAAAATTCAACATCACTTGCAATTCAAACACACAGGCCTACTGCAAGAATGCCTGAAAACCATGCTAAATATTTATATTCTATAGAAAGGGTGGGGAATTTAGGATCTTTCTGACTGACTTTTAAAATGCTGTTATTTATTCAGACCATCACAGGTCTAAGCTGTGGTGTGATTTGCAATGATAATAATATTATTTTTAATATTTTAAATAATTTAAATGTACATAAATTGTCTATAATAGTAATAATAAAAGTTATTATTGTTAATTTCACATTTATATATATAAATATAATATTTAAATATTAATAATAAATCTAATAATAATTTAAATAATAAATGTAAATAATTTATATAAAATATTTTCTCATATTGTTCATTCAAATGTTAATGCAATAATAATAATAATCTGCATTTGTTTAAACATTTATAATGTTTTATGAAGAAATATTTCAGCAGAAAAAACTATAATACACACATAGCTTATCTGTAACACTTATTTAATATTCTCCCATTTCTTCTCTACATTAATGTGTAAAGCTTCGCAAGTAAACTAAAACAAACGAGCCACCCAGCAATTTCACACTTATAAACAAGCAACACGATGTTCTTGCAGGCTCTCCGGCAATAATTTTATCCCGAGCATTTCACACATGGCTTCAGCTCCGCGCTGCACAAGTCAAACGGTACCTGTCCCTTTAAGAGGCGGAACCATATGCCCATATTTGTAAAACTGGGGGATTTAAATGCCCGACCCCAGCTGTCAATCAAAAAGACCAAACAATCACAGAAACCTAAGGCGCTGAGCTCCATTACAAACGCGACTTTCCTTTTTATATTTAATACTCCCATAAAACCTAGCAAACAACCAAAACCAGACGCTACTTTCCAAGCAATATGTAATGCACATTTAACGAGAGAAATAGGGAACGGTCTGATCTCGTAAACTCAACCACACGTCTTTGTTTTGTTACCCCCCCCCCATTCCCCGTGTAACTTTTCATCGAAACCCCCCACGTTTCCTCACGCTTCACAGAATGACTGCTGCAGAACAACCAACAAAGAAATAACCTGCATGTCATATACATTTAATTTACGAGCTAAGAGCAATACAATTCGCAATACGGGCTGCATAAAAATAAAACAAACCATTAAATAAATAAATAAGCATATGTTGTTCGGCACGCCAATGTTAATGTTGAACGCGAATTCCTAACAGTATAAAACTCTTAAAATGCTCGTTTTGTTTTCTGTTAACACCTCTACAGTAGCAACCATTACGGTTTATAATTTTTTTAACAATAAGAAATAAGATAAGTATTGAGAAAACATCACGCACGAGTTCAATCGAAAGCATGCAAGTTTCAGCACCACATCGATCAAGACTTCGTTCAAAATCACATCTATTCCCTTTTAAACAGTTTCATTCTTCTTCATAATTATAAGTAGCAGTATGCTCTTTGAATTGTTTATCTCTCATCTTACGTTTCCATTTTAGTAGGCTATTTGCTGTTTGACATGTAGCACGTTGACCCAACTGCTGTTAAGTGTGAAACATTAATAAACCTTCACTTGACGTCTAACACACCACAATCTCAAGTGCACTTCGATGCTGACATTTATTTACTTTTATGTGACACAAAACTACATGAGGGGTTAATGTCAGCTGATGCTCTGCAACTCCTAACCACAAAGCTTCTGAGAAAACCCTACGTGAACCCATTTTTGCTGCTCGGATCGCTGAATTTTTTTGAGAAGCCATGATAAAACAGTCCAATGTTACTGCAAAACAATAACGAAGCTTTAACAGACAGGTAACACGAGCGTTTATATTGTGAAAACTGCAAAGGGGGCGATTAACGCCTGGAAATATTGACAAAGCAGCGTGTGAAATCGTCTCAGCGCGAGCGAGCGAGCTCAACGCACGGCTTACTGACACCCGAAGTGCCATAGGATTTCATAGGCGGGTATTTCGTTGCCTTTCCGACGCAGCGGATGACGAAGACACGGTTGAATTCCTTACCTGCCGTGAAACCAGTCCTTACAAATATCGCATTCTATCATAAACCGGCTCACATCGTACGGCTGCCGGCAGACGCAGTACAGCTGGGCCGTCGCCATCTTCGGACTGTCCCCAAACAACGCAGCCAAGCTGGGATCGGGTTGGGCGGGGATTCCTTCTAATTATGCGGAAACAACACAGAGAGGAGCGCGAAGGAGGGGCGCTGAGAGCATGCCGTGACGCCACGCATAAACACTGAGCGCGAGGCACGCCAAGTCGCTTCATCATTACATAATAATACGATAATATAGGGTGATAATAAAAAGCACTGAATGAAAGAAACGAGTCATAGATGCATAAATTAGAGTTTTTAAAGTCCATTCAGGAGATTTAACCTTCTGAAAAGAGCACATATTTAGAGACAAGGCTCAAAGACTAGGATATCTTATGCAAAATTGTAAAAAATAATTTCTTTGGTCTTGTTTGAGATGCAGTTTTTATGAGGAAAGAGATATTTCCTCCTATATTTTCAATACGGGCTGTCCAGAATTTACCTCTAGAAACACCTCTGGGTTAGAATTTGGTAAATGTGTCAAACGTATATGCTTTAATAGCCACCATGCATGATGGGAAGCAGACAAACAAACAAACACAAATCCTAAATATATGACATTTTTACACTGTGAGATTATTTATATTTTATAAATAAGAAATTACATACGGCTAACATTTAAATAAGTCTGAAATGTATGATTTTTTAATATAACATTTTGTTAATTTCAGTATGTTTTGCTACATTTTGTTACTCTTGATATCTATGTATATATTATGCAAAATTGTAAAAAATAATTTCTTTGGTCTTGTTTGAGATGCAGTTTTTATGAGGAAAGAGATATTTCCCCCTATATTTTCAATACGGGCTGTCCAGAATTTACCTCTAGAAACACCTCTGGGTTAGAATTTGGTATAATGTGTCAAATTTATATGCTTTAATAGCCACCATGCATGATGGGAAACAGACAAACAAACAAACACAAATCCTAAATATATGACATTTTTACACTGTGAGATTATTTATATTTTATAAATAAGAAATTACATACGGCTAACATTTAAATAAGTCTGAAATGTATGATTTTTTTATATAACATTTTGTTAATTTCAGTATGTTTTGCTACATTTTGTTACTCTTGATATCTATGTATATATGTATATATAATAATAATAATAATCATCATCATCATCATCATCATCATATTAAACATGTTCAACTCATATTTTAGGACCACCACTGCAATATTTTTTTATTTTGACATGATATTTATGACATTAAGCAGCCCCATTAAAAAAATATTTAGCATAAATAAAAGGCAGTACAACAAATGTCATGTAAATATTTTACAATTTAAAAAATATATAATTATTTTATTATTCATTTTGTTTTATAATATTTTGCATTATGTAATAAGTATGGGGAAACCTGCTGGTCATAAACAATGTCACTTTAAAAATAAATGATGTATTATACTTTTATGTTGTTGCATTGAATTCTTGCTGTGTTTGTTGCATAATATTGATTTCCTGCTGTGTCGAATAAAGCATAATGGTAAATCTGCTAATCTGCTAGTCCTGAAACTTTGAGGAGAAGGTTGACAATGGCACCACCTTGTGCAATATCTGATCATTACAGTTGATTTAAAAGCGCAACTCTCTGACTACATACACGTATAAAAACTGCAAGCGACGCGACAAACTACAACGGTTCTATTATAATGAACAACTCTGCGACGCGGTGAAATGAAGCGGCGTGGATTACAAGTTTGTCGCGTCGCGTCAGATGGGGTTTGAGCGTCGGGGCGTCGCCTTGGCTCGACCCGGACCAATCGGGATTCCGCTCAATACTTTGTAAACAACACAGTTGCACGCTGTATGAAAACTTTACTACGAGAGGATGTCGCGTGCCGAGGACCGCCAGAAAATCACTCAATTCGGTAAGGAGCATGTTTAAAATCTTTACTGTTTTTTTGAGCTTAAATGTTTGTCATGTCGTTGATACGAGCACTTTTCTCATCTCTCAAAGAACGAGCGCAACTACAATGTTGGCAGACATCCGGGACGTTTGTCGGTGAAAAATAGTGAATGCTGGTGTATTTCGATAAATCTCTGTTTGTTGTGACACGACGAGTAACTTTAGGAGTAACTAAAGGGATACTCATACTAAGGTGGTCATTTTTGGTTCGCTTTTCTTTTGTAAAAGAACGAAGTGTAATGAGATCCTTATCGTAAGTGATAAACTCTTGCGCAATTGAGCCCTGGGGAGCATCGGTGGGCGGCTTAGCGCTTTGTTTTCATTATTATTTTAATATCGTGAAGTTCAGAGGTCAGCATGTTTAGTCCACATTTTCATGACTGTTAAAGATGTATGTGTGCAAACGTATGGCTCAAAATGTTAAGGATATTCTCAATTATACAGTCATAGTAATTTTATGGGTCCATGACGTGATGCGTGTTTTTGTCCGGAAGTTACTCAAAATGCAGTTCATACAAGAATGATTTGAATACACTGTTATATTAAAAGTTTTATTAATATATTTCAGTGTGTGAATTAAAAGCATTTTTAATTTTTTTTGTAAGGCTTAAGTAAGTAAAAAATGTCTAGGTGGCGTAACTGTCCACAGACTGTAGCCTAAATTAGAAAAAAAGTCTAGTTAAAAGGCTAAAATTCTTTATTTATTGAAAAAGTATTATATTATAACATTAGGCCTATGTTATTAATCCTTTAAAAATAAGCAGTAGAGCAATTTTGTATCAAAGTCAGTATGGAATTATCAGTATACTGTAGAAGAGCCCATTTTGTTGTCATGTGCCATTGTTTTAAAAAAAATATTAAAAAATTTCCTTGAAATGTTATTAATATCAAGATATTTTATTACATTAGTTATTTAAAAACAATTAAGTAGTGAAGTAATTTTAAAATATTTATATTTTGAATACTTTGTAAATCAAAGTCAGTGTGGAATAACCAATATGTAAGAACATGTTTTGTTGTAATGTGACTTTTTTTAAAACATAACATATTTTTACCTTTTCATGAAGACACATTTTGTCAGATATTACACTTTTATTAGATGTTACACAGATATTACACTCAGATATTAGTGAAGCTTTTAAAAAAATATTTAAATTAGGAAAACTTCGTAAATCAAAGTCAGTGTGGCATAACTAGCAATAAGCAATAAGAACCCAATAAGATTTTTGTCATGTGGTAGTTTTAAATATATAACATTTTAAAAATCTTTTTATGGAAAGAGCAGATTTTGTTACTATCAAGATCTTTTACGTTATATATTCATGATTCATCTTTAATAAGAGTTTAAAATTTTAAATGATTTTTGACATTGATGAAGTTGTTTATGTCTATTCAAGGTTTAAAAATATATTTTTGTACTTTACATTATGGTTCCACCATTTGACATTTTTTGTCATTAAATTAAGCCATCAAATACAGCATTTGCTAGTAAATATGAACTTTTCCCCCAAAAATGTATAATTCCAACATGATTACAAAATTTTATATTTCTAAGAACTTGACTCATGTGTTTTAAAATTGAAAGAAAAGAAAGAAAAAAAAAATCAAATTTCTATCATTCATATTACACATTGGCCCATGTATGTGACTATTTGTAGAGACCCAATATGGGCAGAGTCCCTGAACTGTGAATGGTGTCCCAAGCAGGCCAGAGTAAAATACCTTGGCTGTGATTAAAATCCATTTAAGAACAAACATTTGGATCAGTTGCTGAACTAATCCAACTTTGTCTATTTGGTTTGATTGTGTAATATTCAGCCCAGGGAGCCATTTCTAATAACAACACAATGGATGCTTCCAAGTGCACCGTCAAGTTTCAACATCCTCATTGCTGGAAGGTAAATGGCATTCAATAACTGTTTCTGCAGCGTTTGTTTGCTTTTAGTAATGTATGCAGTGCTTCGGGCCAACACATGCTTTTCCGAATGCAAGCAGAACCCCAAAAACAAAAGAGAAAATGCCTCAGCAGTTTCAGTTTTTGGGTAATTGCAGAAGGCGAGGGGCAGGGCAGGCAGGTGCTTCGTTTAAGACATTGAACATTGAACACAGGATGTGGGTACAGCCTTCATTTTAGAGCCTCGGCGCTGCACGCACAGCGTTCATCCAGAGTCCTCTCTCCTGAGGAAGGGGAGGAGGGGGAAGGATGGGTGCAGAGGATTGTAGCCTCCTGCCGGGGGGCTCGATCAGGAACACAGTATCTCTGACTCCTGACACAGATGCAGATCTTTGTCATTCAGAGAGCAGGCTGAACATTCAGTGGTCCCCACATTGCATCCCAGCAGTGTATTTGACAGGACAGATTTACTTATTTATTTATTTTTATTATTTCAAAGGACTGTCAAAATATGCCTGATTTCTATCAAGAGTGTTAAAGCTGGCTGATGAAAATCAAAAATCAAAATGGCTGATCTTTCTGTGTGGCCGTTATGGTTGATTTATCTCCTACGCATACTGTCACCTGCTGTGGTTTTAAAGAGACTTGGCTTCTGAGAAATGACATTGTTGACTTTCTGTCAAGATCTGTGTTTCAGTTTGGAAGAACGACTGAAGGAAAAAGGTTTTGGAAATAATATTTTTATATTTTATCTAATATTGTTTAGTTTTAAAATATTATATATAATTGTAAATCTGACAAGATGCGTGCCTAGAAGTTGTTCAGTTGCTTCTTTAGAAAACATCCCATCAAGGAATTTTGATTTCACACACTAAATTTATCACCTATTTCAAAGTGTTGAATCACCAACAGAGAATTCAGTTAATTCATTTTGGTAGTGAAAATGCATCCTCACACTCATACTTTGCATTTCTTTTTGTTTGTTGTTCTTCTGAAGCGGAAATGACGGTAGTTGCCTTCTGAGCAGCTGTTTGTGGGTACTGATAGCATGACAGGCTCATCTGGGGCAACTCAACGTCATTGTTTCCTGGAATCTATGCTAATGAAAACAAAGAAGTGTTAAAGCAGAATTTGTGAGACAAATATCGCCATAAACGGGCCTTAATATGCATAATAGTATGAATAGTGACTTACCTTTTCTAAGTCACTGCATAGTTGGCCTATTGTTGGCTTCTGTTTTTTTAGGTGAAAACAT